CGGTACTCGGAGACGTTTTCCTGAGAAATAATGGCACGGCCGGTGTATAAAGCATCACCAGTGCTGTCGTCTGCATAGCAATGAATGTTACTGGTTTGCAACATATCATTAATATACAGAAGAAACAGCGTTGGTGATAGCACGCAGCCTTTTGGTACACCAGCGTTAATGAGCTTGTAATCGGAGCATACACCGTCTACTACGACCTTGATGCTCCGACCTGCAAGAAAACTGGTGATTCAATTGCACAATTTCTCGGGGAGCCCATAGAGAGGCAGCTTCGAAAGAAGCGCTTTATGCCAAACCCGATCGAAAGCCTTTGCTATGTCCAAACTAACGGCCAACGCCTCCCCCTTGGACTCCACTGCCTCCGCCCATGTATGAGTTAGGTAACCTAGAAGATCGCCAGCTGAGCGACCCCGACGGAAACCGTACTGGCGGTCACTAATCAGCTGGCGATCCTCGAGGTACCGCATAAGCTGGCAGTTTATAATGGATTCCATTATTTTCGAGAACAAGGAGATGATGGCGATAGGCCTGTAGTTTAACGGGTCTGAGCGGTCGCCTTTTTTAGGGATCGGGTGAACAAAAGCAGTCTTCCATGATTTCGGGACTACGCCTAGGGAGTAGGAGTACTGGAAAAGGCGCGTTAGAACCGGTGCTAACTCTGAAGCACCCGTCCTCAGCACAATTGGGGGGATTCCGTTAGGCCCACTTGCCTTGTGGATGTCTAGGGAGAGGAGTGCTTTGCGAACCGAGCGCTGTGAGAACCGCACATCCGGTGTGTTCCCCGTCATCAAGAGTCGAGTTGGACGCAAAAAGGGAGCCTAAAAGGTCGCCTTTCTCTTTTGCGGCTTGGGCCAGTGAGTCGTCTCCCTGTGTAGAGATGGTAGTGATGGCTTACAGAAATTCCCTTGGATGCACGGGTTCCCGAAGGAAGGCGAACTAGTTTCTCGCCAATTCTGCCTATGTGCTCTGACTTTCCCTTAGCAATAACTCTTTTGAAGGCGAAAGAGTTATTGCTAAGGGAGGCGAAAATATACTTGTTTTTAAGCACGCTGGTGTGCACATCCCGAGCCGCCGAAGCTCCAGCCTAATATCCCAAGTATCCCGTAAATTCTCTCATGCATTGAAGTTATATGTAATCAGTTCAACGCCGGCATCAGTTGTCAAGTGACCGCTGGTGAAACCGAATTGATTTTTTTGAAGTAAATTATTTATATAATTACTTTTTTTTACATTTGATCAAGAATAATTTTTTCAAAAATTTTACTAAAATAATATCAGTTTTAGCAGTGTTTAACTATCTACCTATATGCTGGAACTGGATAGGAAAGTTACAACCAATTAATTCAAAAGAAAATCGAACAAACAAGCAGACTTCATAAAAAAGAAAAGATTAACAATTAGACATCTTCATTTGTGAACCGATTATAATTATTATTTTATTATTAAATAGGTAAAAATAGGTATACTTCTCCGAATAAATCTGGAGAAAATTATTCTAAATATATATAATAAATATTCCACCCCTAAGAATGGAATATAAGGATGAAATTTTTAATGTAATTATTTAGAAAATGTTTGATATTGTGATATTCCTTAACTTTTTTTTAATAGCCATACCTCGTAATAACAACTAATAACAACTAGAAAATAAAAATCTGCATTTGCCAAGCTACCTGCCAAGCATGTCAACTATGTCAAATATCCCCCTTATGAGGCAATCTATTGGTTCAGTTATATATGTATACATATATATATATATATATATATATATATATATATATATATGTATATGTATATATACATTCCTATACGTACCTATACATTCAGCAGTGTATTTTGACTGTAATAGATAAGATATATTCCTTATCTATTACATCTTATTATGTGTGGCTTCCCCGTGGCTGTTTAACTTATTTATGGACAGTTGTTTGCAAACTTTGAAAGTTGAAGAATGTGGGTTGAGAATGGGTGAGTCAACCGTCAAATGCCTTTTGTACGCCGATGATCAAGTCATATTTGCATCGTCGGCGGCCGAGTTGCAAATGATGGTTACTTTAATGAATTGGTCATTGAAAGAAAGGGGTATGAAAGTGAACGCAAGTAAGACGAAAGTGATGGTTTTTGAAAGAGAAGAAAGTAAAACTTTATGTGAAATAAGAATAGAAGGGGAGTTGATTGAGCAAGTGGATGAGTTTGTATATTTGGGATGTTTATTTAGCAGGGATGGTAGATATGATAAGGATATAGAACGACGAGTGAACGCAGGAAATAGAGTGAATGGGGCTCTACACGCTATTATGAGGAGTCAGAATGTGTCAACTAAGGCACGTATGGCAATTCATAATGCTGTGTTAGTCCCTACTTTAATGTATGGTAGTGAAAGTTGGGTCTGGCAGAAGAAGCATGAGAGTAGAATAAATGCTGTAGAAATGCGTTCCTTAAGGAGTATGCTAGGGCTAAATCTGAATGACAGGGTGAGAAATAGTCTGATAAGAGAAAAGTGTGGTTTGCAAGATGACGTTGTGACAAGGATTAAGAAAGGAATGCTTCGGTGGTTTGGTCATGTAGAAAGAATGAACGAGGAAAGAGTGACAAAGCAAATTTATGTTGCGGAAGTGAACGGCAGGGTCGGGAAGGGACGCCCTAGACGAAGGTTTATCGACCAAATCGGCGATACATTAAAAATGGGCCAGATTAGGAGTACCCTTAACCGACGAGCGTGTATGCGTAGATATATGGATGTAAAAGAGGCGAGAGAGGTGTGTCAGGATCGTGCCAAATGGAAGTCCGTAGTCTCTGCCTACCCCTCTGGGTGACAGGCGTGAGTGTTTATGTATGTATAGATAAGATATACTGTCATAGCACTGACTTCTAATGCTATTATTTGTGAATTATTTTATTCCTTTCAGTTCTTTCAAGTCTGCTTTTACTTTTAATAAAAGTCTTATTCTTAAAAACTATGTCCTGATGAAGATTTAAAGGAAAAGGTTTTATTTCCAGGATAAATATCTTTAAAATAATCGGTTTTACAATCTAGTACAATAACTGAATTTACAATTAACAATCATTTTAACTGCCGTTGCTTTTTATATAAAATAATTAAGTGTACCTACTTAGGTTATCAAATCAAATCACGTCCATTTATTTGCATAATACAGGTATAAAAGTTGTTATAGAAAATTAGAATATGTACACTGTATTATTACCTTATGAGGTATGCAAATACAATTATCAAACTATAGTCTGTTTCATTAACTAATTGAAAGAGTTTTTTTGGTAGTACAGTAACTAAGTATTTGGTTACAGTTCTGCGCAGAACATTGTATGGCCTACAAAACACTTTTCCCTAGTTTAGATTTTGTCACTTTATATCAGCTCTTTACGTTGGCCAACATTGTGGCAAATGTTGTGGCAAAGATATGAGCCAAGAGTTTGTGATGGCTTCTACAGGTTCAGTTTGCTTCGGTTCAGGCCAATGTCAAATTTATTAAAATGGATATTGAGGCACTAACGGCTGGTGCGGTTTATTTATTCACAGCATAATGCTACTACGTAAATGTGTACTCACACAATAAAGGATATATTTCTTTTGGGAAGGGGAAACATTTAATAAAAGAAAGTGTAATGAATGACAAGATATAATAGCGATCGGGAGTGGCAGTTTAAGGCATCTTTTACTGTAATTGCCAATCCATGTGAATCAACATTCATTACCTTGTGTGTCAATTATGCAAATCCTCTCGAATATAAAAGTTTGAAAAACAGGATAAATTGCAAATCATCAATACATAATAGCATCTTGCGTGTAATTATTATAAAAATATTTTGACTCACTAAAATATCTAAAACATTTACCAACATTAAATTTAAAGAATAAAACCTACAAACTGTACAAAATATATATATATATATATATATATAATCAATTGAGCAGATATTATATTCTTTTCAGTTTATGCTAAGCCTGGTTCATACACAAAATCTTATAAAAGTCCTGTACTGCCGAACATAGACCCCCACCCATAGAGTGATTTTGCAATATTGTCATGCTTGGCAGGCAGTTTTACAACCATAGTTTTTTATTATTTCGGGTTGTTATTATGAAGATGCTGCTTCCCATCCACTGTATCAGTTTTCCTCTTTCGCCTCTGAAGACACCCAATTGGATTAGAAACCAAAGCCTTTATTAGTCTGAATATATATCCCAAGTTGTAGAACTGAATAAAACACATAATATTAAGTAAATAAGATCATATTATCTTATATAGGTATATTAAAGACATACAATACATACATGCTTACCACAGCATACAAGTGGAAAACATTGGTGGGTATGTTTATATCATTATTAAATAATCCTAAGCACAGAATATGTAATAGTATTAAACAATACTAAAATGTAGGATATTTTTTTAATTAATTGTTTAATCTTGTTTTTATTATTAAACTTGAACTAGGATTTATTTTTAATACCATGAGAGACAACCTGATGTGATGTTCTGGGGTCATGCTGTGGAGATATAAGAGGAGACCTTTGTAGAGCAGTGGACTAGTGAAACAGGTGGGTATGTTTATATCATTATTAATTAATTCTAAGCACTTGATAACATTAAATAATACTGAAGTGTAGGATATTTTTTAAATTGTTTATTCTTGTTTTTATACAAGAACTACGATTTATTTTTAATACCATAAGATGGAGGCACAACCTGATGTGATGTTCTGTGGTCATGCTGCTGTAGAGATAAAGAGGAGGCCTTTGTTAAGCTGTGGACTTGACTTATGATAGGGCTGTAATGATGACAATCGTGATATGTTGTTTGGTTTACGAAATAAGTACATCATGATGAAAGTTCACAGATCAAGTAAAGTAAATATTTAATTAATGTTCTCAATCATTAATACAAACAATTTGTTTACCAATGCCTAACTAGAATGAACCCAGAACATACTTAAATAAAGCTACATTTAACAATAAACAAATGACAAACCATTTCTTTGATTATGAAGTAGAGCCGTTCGATTATCAATTATTTCTTCAGACATTTCACAAGTGATTACAGAACACAGGTCACAATTTTGATATATTAAAAAAAACTAATCACCGCAATGATGTCGACACAGTTAATATAAGCACTGACAGCAAAAAAAAATTGCCGGTTTTCAAACCGTCTTCAATCAATAAAACAGGTATATTCACAGTAGCGTGAAGCAATAAAAATCGGCATAAACAAGCATGGAATCAATTTATAAATGACCGCGAGAAGCATACCTAGTTATTACCTAGTATATGTACATAGCTGAAGTAAATATTAGTAAATCTCTACATAGTGAATTGATTCGACTGACCATACACACATACATGAAAAAACACATAAAATTAAATTAAACTTAACTACTAAATCAAAATCACTGACAAGTATAAAAAGTAAAATAAATTATTCCTACTACATACCTTTTAAACTGTGTGGGTTGTTATAGAATTTGAATACGGCATTTAAAATTATTTAAGTTCTATTGCATTTTATACATAATAACCTAATAAAATACTTCACTAGTTCACTAACTTGTTCCAGATATTACGATTTATGTCTCATTCTTTTGGCTACACTACGACACAAACTGCAATGGGAAACTGGAGAAATCGACTAATTAATCAACCTGAAGATTGAAGAAAAACACTGATCTTTTATCTATGAATCAGATTCAAATAGGAGATATGTACCTACTTTCACTACGACAGAATCAGGATTCTGGATCTGTGCATCAGATAAGAAGCTGGAAATAAAACTGTCATTGTAATGAAAGAAGGTTAGAAGTAGTGATAAAGGCTTATCACCTTGATAAGCCCTTATTCTTATCTCACTGAAATGCTTGCAGTTTAAAATAATTTTCACGATAAGCATTTCAATATGGAGAGTTGGAGAGGATTAATTATGTAACTGAAAATTCTAATATATTTCATAGTGATCCCGAAGAAAAATAAAATAAAATATAAACAAAAATAAAAATAAAAAAAGGTTTGCTACATATTTATATAGGAAACACTGTATAGTGTATTCTATATCATTCTCTTGCAGGCTAAACATCAAAATAATTGTATATGTTTTGTCTCTTTTTAGTGTCGCTTTTTCGATTCATCGAGTTCCAAATCACAATGATTCTAAAGAAGTTTTCACTTCAAAACAATGAATAGAAACAGAAATGGTTACGATTTATTAAGATTATTAAAAAGCTTGTTATTTGTATACCCGTACCAAGAAGCGCACCCTACCCTACACATCATTACTATACTTTTTGGTCGTAAATAATGAAATCGATTACATTGAATATCACATCTAACGCTTGGTTGAGATATTTAGATAATCTCTGATATTTTGATTAGCTCTTTGGGAGAAGTGGAACTTGTGAGAGATTTGTGAAGGCCGGCCACATACATAAGGAATTTCGTTTTGAGATTCCGTTTCGATATTCCGATTCGGAATCCCGAACGCAGCAAGTCCATATAAAATCTATGACCCGCCACACACGTACGGTATTTTTCCGTTCGAAATTTTGCGGGCAAAACGGGATTCAGTATGTGTGTGGCCGACCGTTCGAAATTCCGAAACGTAATCTCGAAACGGAATTCCGTATGTATAGAGCGGGCCTTAGTAATTCAAGGCAATACCTACATAGGTATCTTTGATTAAAAATTCGCACCTACTTCTCACTCTATCTATTCGAATAGCTGATAATCAAAAAGCTCGAAACGTCATTAAGGTCAAAATATACGGTTCTTGTATGGTAGTATATAAGTCTTGTGAGAATTTAATAGTTTTGGTGAAACTTTTCCTTTCATTCCAACTCTACTCTTTGCCAAGTATAGTAAGTAAGTATAGTAAAGGCGGCTACTGACATGTCTGCTGCAGGGGCAATCTAGGGAGCACAGCGACCGGAGCAATTTTTTTTTTTTATAGAATAGGGGGCAAACGAGCTTGCGGCTCACCTGATGGTAAGTGACTACCGCCGCCCATGAACAACCGCAACACCAGGGGAATTGCAGATGCGTTGCCGGCCTTTTAGAAAGGTGTAAGCTCTTTTCTTGAAGGTTCCTAAGTCGTATCGGTTCGGAAAATTCGCTGGTGGTAATTGATTCCACAAAGAAGTTGTGCGAGGGAGAAAACTTCTTCTAAATCGCACAGTGGTGGACCGCCAATCATCCAGATGGTACGGATGGTAACGCGAGTTTTGTCGCGACGTGCGATGGTGAAATTGAGCGGCTGGAATTAGTCCGAACAATTCCTCAGAGCACTCCCCGTGATAGATGCGATAAAATACGCAAAGAGATGCAACATCTCTACGCAGTGCCAGTGTATCGAGCTGATCGGAAAGAACTCGGTCGTCGACGATTCGAATCGCTCTGCGCTGGATGCGGTCAAGTGGAAGGAGCTGGCACTGGGGTGCCCCGGCCCAGAGATGAGAACAGTATTCCATGTGGGGCCAAACTTGCGCTTTGTAAAGTTGCAAGCGATGTGCCGGCATGAAATACTGTCTCGCTCTGCTGAGCACGCCAAGCTTTTTAGAGGCCAATTTGGCCTTCCCTTCCAAGTGACCACGAAACTGCACGCTATTCGATATGTCGACGCCAAGGATTCCGATACTGGCTGAGGCAGCAAGGGGAGTGCCTTGAAACTGAGGAGATACGACAAAGGGGTTCTTTTTAGCGGTAAACGCGCAAACTTGTGTCTTCTGGGGATTGAACTGGACTAGATTTCGTCGGCCCCAATCCGAGACTTTGTTAAGCAAAGACTCGACTTCAGACACAAGTTTGTCCCGGTACTCGGCGACGTTTTCCCGAGAAATATTGGCACGGCCGGTATATAAGGCATCCCCAGTGCTGTCGTCCGCATAGCAATGAATGCTACCAGTTAGCAACATATCATTGATATGCAGGAGAAACAGCGTTGGTGATAGCACGCAGCCTTGTGGAACACCAGCGTTGATAGGCTTGTAATCAGAGCATGCACCGTCTACTACGACCTTGATGCTCCGATCAGCAAGGAAACTGGTGATCCATTTGCACAATTTCTCGGGAAGCCCATAGGAAGGAAGCTTCGAAAGAAGCGCCTTGTGCCAGACCCGATCGAAGGCCTTCGCTATGTCCAAGCTAACGGCCAATGCCTCCCCTTTGGACTCTACTGCCTCCGCCCATCTATGAGTTAAGTAAACTAGAAGATCACCCGCTGATCGACCCCGATGAAAACCGTACTGACGGTCACTGATCAGCTGGTGATCTTCAAGGTACCTCATGAGCTGGCAGTTTATAATGGATTCCATTATTTTGGAGAACAAGGAGGTGATAGCGATAGGCCTGTAGTTGGACGGGTCTGAGCGGTCGCCTTTTTTAGGGATCGGGTGGACCAAAGCTGTCTTCCATGAATTCGGGACTACGCCTTGGGAGTAGGAGTACCGGAAAAGACGCGTTAAAACCGGTGCCAACTCCGGAGCACACGTCTTCAGCACAATGGGAGGGACTCCATCGGGCCCACTCGACTTGCTGACGCCCAGGGAGAAGAGTTTTTTTTTTTTTTTATAGGAGAGGGGGCAAACGAGCATGCGGCTCACCTGATGGTAAGTGACTACCGCCGCCCATGAACAACTGCAACACCAGGGGAATCGCAGATGCGTTGCCGGCCTTTTAAAAAGGAGTACGCTCTTTTCTTGAAGGTCCCTAAGTCGTATCGGTCCGGAAAAATCGCTGATGGTAATCGATTCCACAAGGAGGTCGTGCGAGGAAGAAAACATCTTCTAAATCGCACAGTGGTGGACCGCCAATCATCCAGATGGTGTGGATGGTATCGGGAGTTCTGCCGCGATGTGCGTTCGTGAAATTTGGCGGCTGGGATTAATCCGAACAATTCCTCAGAGCACTCCCCATGGTAGATGCGAAAGAAAATGCAAAGGGATGCAACATCTCTTCGCAGTGCCAATGAATCGAGCCGATCGGAAAGGGCTCGGTCGTCGACAATTCGAGCCGCTCTGCGTTGGATGCGGTCAAGTGGAAGGAGCTGACACTGGGGAGCCCCTGCCCAGAGATGGGAACAGTATTCCATGTGAGGCCGAACTTGCGCCTTGTAAAGTAGCAGGCGGTGTGCCGGCATGAAATACTGTCCCGCTCTGCTGAGCACGCCAAGCTTTTTAGAGGCCAATTTGGCCTTCCCTTCCAAGTGACCACGAAACTGCACGTCACTCGATATGTCGACTCCAAGGATACCGATACTGGCTGAGGCAAGAAGGGGAGTGCCTTGAAACTGAGGAGATACGACAAAGGGGTTCTTTTTAGCGGTAAACGCGCAAACTTGTGTCTTCTGAGGATTAAATTGGACTAGATTTAGTCGCCCCCAATCCGAGACTTTGTTCAGCAAAGACTCGACTTCAGACACAAGTTTGTTCTGGTGTGCTTGATGAGTGCTTTGCGAACCGAGCGCTGTGTAAATCGCACATCCGGCATGGAGCACTCACATCGCGGGATGGTCGGCGGTGTGTTCCCCCCGTCATCTAGAGTCGAGTTAGACGCAAAAAGAGAGCACAACAGATCGGCTTTCTCTTTTGCGGCATGGGCCAGTGAGTCGTCCTCTCTGTGCAGAGATGGAAGGGATGGCTGACAGAAGTTCCCTTGGACAGCCTTGGTGAGAGACCAGAATGCACGGGTTCCCGAAGGAAGGCGAACTAGCTTCTCGCCAATTCTGCCGATGTGTGCCTTGGCAATGACGCTTTTGAAGGACCTGGAGGCGGAATTATACTTCTTTTTAAGTGCGCTGGTGTTTAAATCCCGAGACGTTGATGCATCAGCCCAGGCCCGGTAGCACTCCTGCTTATAGCGTGATGCTATTTTACAGGAGCGACCAAACCATGGCTGGGATCTGCCGCCGATGGGCACCACAGAGGATGGAATAAAAAGTTCCATACCCTGAAGTACCACATCAGCAACAGAATCGGCAACAACGCTGGGATCTTCCGGCGAGAAGCAAACCCGCCCCCAAGGGTAGGATGCAAAAAAAGACCGCATCCCGTCCCAATCAGCTGACCTATAGTGCCAAACACGGCGGCAAGCTGCAGATCGCAACTGCGATTGGAGCGTGAGTGGCACCGTGCTCCGGATCAGACAATGGTCCGAAGAGTCCAGAGGGGCATCGACGGAGACCTGATATCCGTCCGGATGAGAGGTCAGCAGAAGGTCCAACAGGGAAGGTACATGGTCTTCCACATCTGGGATCCGCGTAGGCGAAGTAACCAGTTATGTTAGACCATATGCCAAAGCAAAGTCGTACACAGATCTACCCGCATGATCGGTTAAACGAGAACCAAGCCATTCAGCGTGGTGGGCGTTGAAATCACCGAGTATCACGATCTCTGCGGATGGGACCTGTTGTAGCACGGAGTCTGCAGCCATTTGGACGTGGTCGATGAGTCGGTCTGTGTCGGCATTACCGCTATGGGACCTATAGAGGCACCCGTAGACGCGGGGATGGTCGTCGCTGTCTACGCACAGCCATAGGATGGACAGGTCCGTACCTTCAAGACTGCCGAGGCGTCGAAAACAGATGTCCTCTCTGACGTATACACAAACTCTAGCCCGGGGCATAAAGGAGTGTTCCAATTTGTATCCCGGGTAGGAGAGATATGAAGTATCAGCCGGAGAGGACACCTGAGTCTCGGTTAAAAAGAGTAAGGCCGGCTTCGCCGTCTCTAGATGGTAATGGACAGCGTTAAGGTTGGAATGAAGTCCCCTGATGTTGCAAAAATTCACGGATAGCGTGACAGGGGTCGCCTTGGTTGTATTGCTCCGCTTGCCCCGAGCAGCATTAGTCACGAGCGGAATTTTGCCCCCCCCCCCCCCCCCAGAATACGCGGGGCAGCCTGAGCACCCACGCTCAGGAGTGAAGTAGTTTGGTCATGGATGCTCAGCGAGGGATTCTCCAGGGGTGCTGGTACCCTCCTGGGGTAGTCTTGTATTTAATTCCACTACCATGTTGATGGGGGAGGGGGGGAATTGGGCCTCCGGTCACCTGCACTCACCAAGCGCAACGCAGAGGTAAACCTCTACTTCACGCTGGTATTCTGTGAGGTCGTGGTACCACCCCGGTTCGAGCTGGCCCATCCGTGCGACAACAAAAGCTACCGCTTATCTCTACCACTGTTAAATATCGGAGCTCTCTCTACACACACGCCTGCCGTTCAGTATGAGAGTGTACGTCTTTCCTGTATAGGACAGTTACTATACTCTTTGGTCTCGCTGGACGCACGTGTTGAGAATGGCCCCAGTTTTATCGAAATATCAATAAATCGGTATATATAGCCTTGGCTCTTTATTATATAGAATAAGGGTGACAAATGAGCACAGTCCACCTGATCGTAAGTGGACACTGTGGCCCATAGACACCCACATTTATCAATAAAACAACTAATTAATTTATAATTACAACCATAATATAGTGCATATAAGCTGCAGCATAGCTCTGCCACGCTATTTTTAGGTTATCAAAGACAATTAAATACGACTACATTCACTCGTCATAATTTAATATAACCAATTTATTCTGTGATATAACTTAACTAACTAGTGCTTAGTAACTATAATTTAACTAATGTTACAAATAGCCAGGATAGTTTTCTAATGATGAGTTTTAATAAATTTAATTACTAAAATTTGTGTTTTTGCTTAATTATTTAGTTAATGACATTTTATTTATATTCCAACAATTTTAATACTATTGGAATATTTTCTTTCCCATACTAGCCCTTATTTATTTATTTATTTAACAATTTATGTACACACAAAATAATGTTACAAGGAAGAGAAAAAAAAGATATTTTGTACAAAGGCACTGCTTATTTCATATTGAAATTTCTTCCAGCAGGCCTGATACTGGACAAATTAAAAGAGAAGCTGATCTAGTGTGCACTCTAATAATAAAATTTTATAATATTAATATACTTAACATAAAGTAAAGATAATAAAAACAAATATCCATGTAAACATACATATAACTAAATACCACTTATAATACATATACACACATACATATATATATATATATATATATATATATATATATACATATATATATTGCAGCAGGAAGAGAATTCCATAACCTAACTGCATGTACTGTAAAAGAGTGCCCTTATGATATGTTAGGTAACAAATCCCAGTAATGTTACTTGTAAGTTACAACGTTCAAATAACGTTCTTTCTGCGGTTCTGACTTGTACTCATAAGTGTGCTCCGCGCGAAAGTCGCAACGAACTAAACGAAATTGCTCCAATTGCGCTACACACGCGACAGCGGCAGGGCCAATCTAGGGAGTCTTGCGCTCCTGCCGCCCTGTCGCAGGGCCGACTTAAAAAATTGCCCCTGCTTGCCTACACACATCACAATTAAGGAGGCAAGTACGGCTCATCCCTACTCCTACACCCTAGATTGCCCCTGCGGCAGGCATGTCAGTAGGCGGAGCTCGGCTATATATACCGATTTATTGATATTTCGATAAAACTGGCGCCATTCTCAACGCGTGCGTCCAGCGAGACGTACACTGACGTCGACTCTCCTACTGAACGGCAGGCGTGTGTGTAGAGACAGCTCCGATATTGCTCCGATCGCTGTGCTTCCTAGATTGCCCCTGCGGCAGGTACGTCAGTAGCCACCTTAACAGCTGTTACTATACTTGGCAAAGAGTACTAGAACATATAAATTACTTAGAAACTTGAAATTTAGCAACAAGTTAGATCAGGCATATGGGAAAAAATCTGAAAACTATATATTATCTATATTGGGCGTCGACAAAGTTGTTGGCGCGGTTAGTTTCAAGGGTTGTGTGTGTGTGTCGGGTTTTGAGCAATATTTTATCGACATTCCAACCTTAACTACAAAGTCACTTAGTTCCTCTCCTAATGTTACCTAGTCATTACTCAATAAAAATGTAAATGTCTGTACGGAAGAATTTGGATTACTTAAAATATAATCAGAAGATATTGTAAAATATTTCAAATCTATTAATATTAAGAAAACCGCCAATCTATGGGTGATTTCTTCTATAATAGATTATTTATTGCCTCTATATCTATTATAGAGGCATATATGGTTATTTTTCAAAGAGTAGTAAAATTTTCAACGTAAGTTTAAATATATAAGTAATGATATACTGTTATTGCAGGTTTTGTAAATACGAGTAAATAAGGGTTCTACTTTTATTTGAAATTATCCCAAATTGATTGTGATTTATGGGAAACAACGTTTTTGCCTACCGATCGACGCTTACGTATGTGTGCGTGCGCAGTAAAATCAGTTAAAATAATGTGTATAATAAGTGTCTGCGAATTGAAGACAAATCTAACAAAACATCAAAGTGTTTTCACCAGGCGAGTTCAACTTACTAAAATTGCTACTATTGCATCTTTAAAGGTTTCTCTCTTGTTCGCTAAGAAGAAAAAGCCTTTTGTAGACGGAGAAATAATAAAGGAAGCCTTCTTAACAGCTGCTGATTCTGTCTTTCAGAATTTTAAAAACAAAACTGAAATTATTGCGGCTATTGAAGCGATACCATTGTCAGCCAGAACAGTGTCGAGAAGAATCGAGGTTACCGCTACTGACATGAGATCAGAGTTGAGGAGTATATTTAAAGTGCAAGTTTTTTCTCTTCAAATCGACGAGTCTATCGACACTTCCGAGACTGCACGGCTATGTGTTATTATTAAAATGGTATTTAATGATTTAGAACAAAGGAAGAATGTTTGAAGTTCCAACGCAGAGCAGTTCGAATCGTCGATGACCGAGTTCTTTCCGATCAGCTTGACTCATTGGCACTGCTTAGAGATGTTGCATCTCTTTGCGTATTTTATCGCATCTATCACGGAGGAGTGCTCTGAGGAATTGTTCGGACTAATTCCAGCCGCTCAATTTCACCATCGCACATCGCGGCAGAACTCCCGATACCATCCACACCATCTGGATGATCGGCGGTCCATCACTATGCGATTTAGAAAATGTTTTCTTTTTCGCACAACTTCCTTGTGGAATCGATTACCATCAGCGATTTTTCCGGACCGATACGACTTAGGGACCTTCAAGAAAAGAGCCTACTCCTTTTTAAAAGACCGGCAACGCATCTGCAATTTCCCTTATGTTGTAGTTGTTCATGTGCGGCGGTAATCACTTACCATCAGGTGAGCCGCATGCTCATTTGCCCCCTCTCCTATAAAAAAAAAATAGTTATATAAATCTCACTCATATCACCGACCTCACAAACTTCGCAATGTAATGTTGTTCGTATTTAGAAAAGTTTGTGAAAAATACACATCAAACTAGACTGTATGATCTACGAGCTTTGTCCACCTTAATTGACAAATGAAAATCATAACAGCAACAGCAAATTGACACTTGGTTTACGCTTTATAGGGATGGGCAAAGGGAAAAAATGTATCGATATATATCGAATCTATATTTTTAATGAGTATAGATATATATCGCGTGATAAATATCGATATATCGTCATCATTTGAATGATGTAAAGATAAGGTCCAAAATTTTATCAACAGACGGTTGGACGACGAAAAAAACGATACAACATTTTAAAATATATCGAAGTTGATACGAATATTAAAAAATGTCTATATATCGATATTTTTTACCCATGCCTACGCTTTATGACATGTGTTTTATTTTGACTGTTGGTTTGATTGTTGCGTAATAGAGATCAGAGAATAATAATATTGTGTGTCAAAATCCAATCATAACCATAACAACTGGTAGAATAACAAGCAGTTTATTTTAGGTATATTTAAATTCTACAAGTATCATCATAATGGCTAGTGACACTTTCATGGACAAAGTACGTTCATTTTTCGGTTTACGAGCGGAACCGCCTCGAAATGATTTTCGTAACCCCATTTGGAACACAGATGATGATGACGACGACGAATTATACACTAAACAGCAAATCGATGTCTTTGAAGATCCATTGGAATTTCACAGAGAATTCACCAAACAGATGCAGGAAATGCTTAATTCTTTCGGTAGTATGTTTGGTGATGTAAAAACATTCTTTAATGATGGAACCATGGACTCTTTTATAACAGACATTCCACATGATCATGAAGATTTTAATAACACTAACAATATAAGAGACTATTACTTAAAGCCGGGATATCACAATAAAATACATGAAAATCAAGGGGATGAAGATTTGGACGGAAAGATCTCTTCTAATGATATATCAAGCTTATTAAAACAGAAAGATGATCAAATTGTGTCCATGACCCCTTTCAACGATATATCGCCAGTTCGATCTTTTTGCCAGACTATTATCACCACCACTGTCACTAAACCAGATGGATCTATTGAATCTAGAAAAATTATTAAGAAAGGCAATGAGGTAGTTGAAGAGACAATAACCACAACTGAACCTAATTCACGAGATCCGGTTAATACTAACATTAATGCTGTTCCAGCAACTGCTGTCATTTTATCTGAATTAGCATCCTTATTCAGAAACTTTTATTAATTACACTTCAACCATCTAAGATGCAATAATAATTTAGTTATTGCAAAAACGATTCAATATTTTAATTGCATAAAATTAACTATGCTGTTTTGTCTTAAACTTAAAAATTAAATTGCTATGCCATAACCTTATATTTATTGCAGATTTCAAAAAAAGAAACTTTTTTTATGTATATTAAGTAATATCTTTGACATTGTAAACTTATTTAGATGATAATTTTTTTAATTAATTAGGTTATATATAGTTACTTCAAGGGAGATCAAAATAGGGGATGAAGTTTTTGATGTAACTATTTAGACATTTTAGTTGTTTTACATTGAACTTGTGACCTTAGTCCACTTAAAAAGAGTCCCAAAAAAAATTAAAAAAAAATTAAAAGATAATTTCAAAGAATTAAATAATTTTACATTTTCAAGTCTGGTTTTTAATGCCTCTATGCAATATGCACTAAGCCTGGCACCAACTTTTATTTCAGTGACTTGGGGTGATTATTATATCAGTTTTAATTTGATGTTTACTTTTAATAAAGAAAAAAATTTAAGGCACTGTTAATTTGTCATTAACAGTCTCAAAATTATTATTATTCCCGTAAAATTTTTTTCTATCCATCTATCTATTAAAATTTTATTGAAAATAAATTTATTATAATTTGAAGACTAATCACAACCCTTAAGTGGAAAGTGTTTTATTTTGCTAACATAGTATGGATTATTTTATTTTTCACTTTTTAAATTTAATATTATAAATTATGTAAAAATATTAGAAGTCCAGGTTTATATTCTGTTTTTTTTTTTTCATCACATTACTTTCTTCTGAAATCACTTGCCACCAGTGATTTTTACAAATAGACACAAATTAAGGACCTTCAAGAAAAGTGCAGTCTTCTTTTTATTAGGCCAGCAACGCACCTGCAATTAACCAGGTATTTGAGTCGTTCATATGCGGTGGTAGCCCCCGTCAATTGAGCCACATGCTCATTTGACACTTCTGTAACATAGCCCACTCACCTTTATTTGCATGTTACAAATTCATTTGTGATAAGCATGTAGTATAGTGCAATAACATCTTATCAAAAGTTATATTTTGTGGTTTATGTTATGATGTGAAAAGTTTTGCAATTTAGGAGCATATTGTATTATAAATTACATTAAATAGTGAGACAATCTTTTGAGTGATATTTTTAGATATATTATTTAGCAAAAGATTTGTATTTTTGTGATCAATTCAGCTACTCTTAATTTATAGAAGTTCCCTTAATTTATGGTTATGATATTTATATGTCACTTTATTAGTTTTGTAGTTTTTAAGAATAGTAGTTTGTATGTAACATGTAACTCTTCATGGCAATAAATTCTATACGTATTTAATACATGTATTATTATTTCTTTTATTCTTTATGTGGGTCACTCATTACAAATAATTGCTGGAACTTAATATGTATCTGTGTTCTCGCTTCTTCAATACGAGCAGTATTAAAGTTGCGTAAGTCCCGCCGCATGCATTTGGAGATCTGTCTGTTCAGTTGCCTGTATGCTATCAAATCTACTGAAGACTGCAGCTTCATATCCCGTCTAACAGCCATGAGAACATTAAGAGTGTGATCGGAGAGTTTTTGTGTTCTTCTGCGGTGGGTCTTGCAAAACTTAACTCCGACCGCATGGACAGTTACCACGAGCTTGTAATTCATATCGTCCACTGCATTGCAATCTTCTAGGCACTGAAAACGGTTACGTAGCTCGAGCTGAAAGGTTTCGGGACTTTGGATTAGAGCGTGAGGTGGACGGAGAGTTGACTTCATTAACGTGACCTCTCCAACTTAACGTTTTAGGTTTAGTGTGCCTCTCACCATTCGGTGATCGCTGCCGGTTTTCACCCTCGCGATCACTGAGACATCACTGAACAGTTGTCGTCTGGTCGTCATAATGAAGTCAATCTCATTTTTTGTCGAACAGTCGGGGCTCGACCAGGTCCACTTCCTGTGGGGCGGCTTTTGGAAGAAAGAGTTCATCATAAAGAGTCCCTCTTTCTCCATGAAGTCGGCCAGCTGCTGGCAAGGGGGGGGGGGGGGGGTTCCGTTGCCCTATTCCGAAATTCCCTACTTTCAGTTCACCATTCTCTCTTGTGCCTGTCTGTGAAGTCTCCCATTAACACCGTATAGTGGAGGAATGCATGGTTCTAGAGATATCTTCATACATTTCCTCCACCTCCTCATCGGGGTGTGCCGAGGTTGGTGCGTAAACCTGTATGATCTTCAGCGAATACCGTTTGGTGATTCTGAGTATAAGGTACGTAACCCTCTTCGACACACTCCCAATCTTTACAACGTTGTTAACGAGAGACTTGTGGACGATAAATCCGACACCTCCTTGGGACAGATGGTCGCCCTCCCGGTGATAGAACAAATTGCCGGATTCGAGGATTACCGTGTCCTCCCCCTCTCTTCGGACTTCGGATAATCCCATGACATTCCAGCGCAACTTGTCTATCTCTTCTTCTAGCTCCAGGATCTTCTCGTCAGTCCTCAGAGTGCGTGCGTTATAAGTCGCCAGGTCGAATCGTCGTAGGTAGCAACCGAACCTCCACCGGAGATTCTTAGCACCCCCTGCCCCGCCGTTACCATGATTGCCACCGTAGCCAGTAATAGCGGGGCCGCCGGGGACTGGGGGCCGTCTCTTCGGTACTTTCATGGGGAGTATATTGCCATAGTTGCTACGCTTGGCGAGCGGGTTGGCAACCGCAGTTTTTTTATTGTTGTTTTGCTGTTATCAGAAAGATGCTGCTGCCCATCTTCTGTCTCAGGTTCCCTCTGTCGCCTTTTATAACACCCACGGGAAGATATGGGGTAGTGAGTATTATTACCCGCCACTACACGGAAAAAAAATCTTTGCAAAATGCTTTTTCCAGCTTAAAGAAAATACCAATAAAATACATCGTATATTTTTCATTTATTACTATTTTTGTTACAATAAATTAAAAAAAAAAATAACTTACTCCTTTATCTTTATTAAAAGAAATTTTCTCTTATCTTGAATTTGTTTCTTGTACCTAAATCATTTTAATCAATACTAAATAAATAAATATGGCTCCTAATCCTAATGTTAGCACTCGTTTAATTAACATCAAGTCAGTATTAAAAATCCTAATTATAAAATCTGTCAGAATATTTTAGTATTTGATAATGTTGGCTAGATTTAATTAACAGTAGATAATAACAGGTATTTATAAGCATAGCTTGCTTATTTATACTCTAAGGTCTAACATTAATTATTTTATGAATATAATTTCCTTCTAAATGTCAATTGTGTGGGACTCCATGTCAATTTTACAAATATTTAGTTTAAAATATTAACGTGAATTTACTCTGTATACTTTTTAGCTAAATGTAATATTCTTAATATTTCTTAATAAACTTTTCCTCGCAGTAACAGGCGTCTTTGGTATTGGATTTGATCCAGGTCAAGAACCGATTGACCCTGGTGTACACTCCTGGTGTTTTCGGTCTTGCGCATCCTTCTCCCCAGGATACAACTCCTGTAAAAAAATAAAGTTTATTTTAATTGAAAGAATTTATATAACTGAACTGTAATGTATTACCAAATTTAAAACCAAGACTCGTGGTCACTTATTTCTCTAAATCCTTGAGGAACACATTTGAGGATGCACACTTCGCGATGCGGTACTGCTATTCGCAATAAAACCATGCCAACCGTCATGGCCTAAAAGATCAGTAAGTATATATATATATATATATATATATATATATATATATATATATATATATATATATATATATATATATATATATACATATACATATAAGAATAAAGAACACTATAATTAAATTTTTATAGTGAGCAACACGCCTCTATTCATATAATGTTTTTTCTTCATTACAGTAGTTTCTAACAATAAAATAAGAAAAAGCATTCCCATAAAATATTTGCATGTACAAGACGTTACCTACTGCATACCTACTGCAATGTAGTTATTTCCAAACCTGCTCGTAGCACACACACACACTCACGTCCATATCCACAGCTGGCCTTTCCGTTTGCTACTGTCATTTGGCTATTAATGACTTGTTATAAAGCCGCGTTTGGCAGATGAAAAGATTCATTTCCATTTATCGAAGTCCAAAGTCATTAGATTTCTCTGCTCTGAATATTTAGCTTTAAAGTTTAAAGTGGTATTTTTCATTAATCATGTGTCTCCCCCCTCTACCAACTAAACCGCAGTTTTTGGAAACGTGAAAAGTATACACAATAGTATTATATATAATGAAGTTAAAAGGAAAAATGTCACAGCTAAAGAGACTTGACAAGTTAACAGTAGACCAACTTATAAAATGCATTTGGGTTAGTAAAAATTTTATTACAACTCCATAGAAAATGACTTAAAACTAGCTGCATTATAACTGTACGACTTATATGCATTTTTTTTATAGGATAGGGTGACAAACGAGCACACAGTCCACCTGATGGTAAGTGGTTAATGTGTCTACATCTATCCTCAATAAAGACTCAACATGCAGATGTGACTAAGATGGAATGTCTCTTTTCCAGTAAAAAGGGTCTCCGGTTCTCTACACTCATCATACGAAACACAGCAGCGTTACGCTGCTATTTTACGTTGGTTTTCTGTGAGAGCGTGGTCCTTCCCCGGTCGAGCCGACCCATTCGTGCTACAACTATACTACTAATATAGCTGCAGAATGGCTCTACCACGTAAAGGACTTACTACTATAGCTTTACATTTTCATTTGTGTGATAGGCAGGGAGGATCTTTTTTACTTATTTACTGCTTCACTTATTTTCTGCCGACTTCCAAAAAGGAGACGGTACTTAATTCGACTGTATGTTTTTTTTTATGTGTGTTACCTTATAACTTTTTACTGGGTGAACCGATTTCGATGATTCTTTTTTTATTTGAAAGCTAGTACTTCTCGTGTGGTCCCATATGAGTTTGGTCAAGGTCAGACCAATAGTTTTGAGTTATTCTTAATAACTTACATTGAAGTCGGCAGTACAAAATTTTAAATTTTAAATTATTATTTAGTTTATTGTAGGCCTCATTCAAAGTATTCATACAGTCATATAGTCTCATACAGTTTCATTCGTCACACAGGATAATTTAGGGCAGTGGTGATTTACGCGTAGGTTCGTTACGGTCATTGTATATATTAGGTTTATACTGCCGGGAATATATTATATAGATAGATAGTCAACTATGATCATCTTTGTACTTATTTGGCATGTGAATGATTTTATCCTCCCACTCCCTAGAAGTCTGATTTGAAAATAAGTCCTTCAGTTACCATCATCCTATTTGGACCTATTTTTAGTAGTTATAGAGGTCAAACCGCGAACTCACTTATTATGCTCATTATCAAGGAAGCCCGCGTATTGTGACGGATAACTACGAAACCCTACATCTACATAGTGCGTGGCCCGACATGCACTTGGCCATTTTTTATCTTGGCAATTTGTCGCAAATGGACGAATATTGTTTCGACGCTAACGCCGAAAGCTGTTGTTAATTAAGCCATAGATTAAGTATCATCAGCTTCCACAATTGCCATTCGTCATTGTCGACTAAAGTTTTCGGACGACCACAAGTGGTGCGTTCGTTTGTAGTATTCACTCCGTAAACGTCGTTGATGTTGCGTGCCGCTTGTGCCGCGTTGCTGCTAAGACGGTTTTTTTATATATAGGATAAGGGTGACAAACGGGCACACAGTCCGCCTAAGGTTAAGTAGTTGCTGTGGCCCATAGACATCTACATCTATACTCAACTACGAATCAAAATGCAGATGTGTTGTCACTCATGAGGACTAAGATGGAATGCCTCATTTCCAGTAAAAGGGGTCTTCGCATCTCTACACTCACCATACGTAACACAGCAGCCTTAAGCTGCTATTTTACGCTAGTATTCTGTAAGAGCGTGGTCCTTCCCCGATCGAGTCGACCAATTCGTGCTACAACTATACTACTAACATAGCTGCAGCATGGCTCTACCACGACGGTACTCATATTCCATAATTGGGCCAAAATACTTTTTGATGCTTAAAAACCGGTCCCTTCGCGTGAATTTCACTTTTTATGGGAAAACAGTATACTAAAGCAAACTATAAGTTCATTAATTCATAAATTTAACACTAATTCCATACTTAACAAAATAAGATATAATCAAAATTCATATTATTTATTTGCAAATTACGGTAACAACGTTGTCTTTCTTAGTAACGCAGTTGTTCTTCATACAAAATATTACTGTCTTTGAGCACCAGGCTCATGATATAAAGAGCAATCTCTCATAATATCCTCTAGATGGAATTGTCTCTGAATATCATTATCAAAAATATACGTTTTGGACCTTATTACAATTACAATAGATATTTTTTACCTAAAACGTGTAATAAAATAAAAAATACTTTGCACTGTGTCCCCAACGATGAATAAAATCCTAGCTACCTTGCGTGGCTATATGAAAACCAACCTTAAATTAAGTGTATTAAATTTAATGTACACCATTTTGTTCGACTTATTGTAACTCTTAAAACGAATGATAGCCTTATTAGTTTTTTTTAGATTGATTTGCGTTTGTTAATTTGATTCAGTGCAACTGACTAAAAGACACTAGTTTATGAGAGAGAACATTATTTTTTTTAGTTTTAATTTAGCTGATGATACTAGACTTGTTAATTGACACTATTTGAGTTATTTTATGTCAAGTCATAAAAAAATATTTTCCATTTTGTTTTCTAATCAACCAGATCTCCATAGAAAGTTTGTCCAAAGTATTGTATGTGAGATAATACCGTGTTACTATGATTGCCACTGCGTTACTTACCTGTCCTCAGTTTTTTTTTACAGTATTTACAGTAATATACAAGCTTCTCATTAGTTAAAAATGTCTTAACTTAATACGTAACTATTGTTCATCATAAATTAAAGCATATGTGTCCAGTATATATTAAATTTTGTATTTATTTTGTCATTAATAGTAAACTTAAAGTTTTTAATTAGGACTTTAGTAACGCAGTGATCTAAAAAATTAAAAAAAAATATGGAACATATTTTTTTGTGATTTAAACTTTATGAGAGATTAGTATTAGTTCTAAAGTTTAAAACTACCATATTAGTGAGACTAATTGTAGAAATTTATTAATAAATATTAAATATGTAGTAAAGTAACGCTGTTGTTTAACTTTTCGACCGCTTAGTGTATAAATTCCCGTAAATATAGTTAAATCATCAAAATCATCGCTGCAGATGTATCGTTATTATAAATCAAACTATTACGAATCTAAATAAACATTCAAAAATAAGAAAATATTAATTCCTATTTATTATTATTTTTTAAAATCTTCTGCTCGAATTAGGCATTGAAAAGAATTTTGGCCCAATTACTCGAATTTTTAACGTGTCCGTGATGACGAAAAAGATTCAAATGCGATTCAAAAATATCGCTAATCAATAAACAAATGATTAATTTTGAAAAAGGAATTCCAATTTTTTTAAATAAAATTAATTTGAAATTAGAATTCTTAGCCAGGCAAAAAATATTTTGATTTGAAATGGCCAGTATTGCAGAACGGCAATTTCATAGGTAAAGACCTATTATTAGTGTAACATTTAGTTTAGAATGAAAAAGAGGACGCTATCGCATTGGGTGTGACCTGTAAGGATAGATGTCTCAAGCATGAAGCAAATACAAAGAGAAGACGGCATAAGCAACTGTGCACTGTGATTCTAAGTAGGTCCTGACGTCATCATAGTGGGCGTGGCTTTAGTTAGTATACTGTCAGCATTCGTCCTATGCACTTATGTGTTGAAAATCGCAAATCGGTGTATTTTCGTAGTATTTAGAAGAAAAGGATGAAGTGTTGTATTTTATCGTGTAAAAACTACTCAGATAGACGCTCTGATGCTATGGATGGCATCACATTTCATTTGTAAGTAATTTTACACCTAATTTATTAAAATAGTTCTAGAAAAATCTCTTTTCGTCGGCTTTCAAATATAATTAAATATATTCGACACTAGATGGCAACACTTTGTGTCATGTGAACTAAAAATATAAAGGTACGTAGAGCTCAGTATTGGTAAAATAATCATACGAAGGTACTGAAATTTCCTAAAGGATTTTTAATCGCCAAAATATTATTTTTATAGTTTTTATAATCATTTTGTGAACAGGCCGCCATCTATCGTCAAGGTACGATTCGAGTAGTTCCCTTTTTATCGGTAGATGTAGATAGTAAAGTGGGCGGGGCTTAACATCCCCTTACCCTGCTAATTGTCACGCGTTGTTACACAGTGAAATCTAATTACAACACCTCTTTGTATTTGCTTCATGGTCTCAAGTAATAAATAAATACATAAATATTTCATTTACACTGACCTGCTATATGCCACGTGTTGGTCTCGTTTTTGTATACGTGCAAGGGTCCACCTGAATCTCCCTGGCACGCGTCCTTCCCGCCCTCGTCAGTTCCAGCGCACAGCATGTTATCTGTTATGCGCCCCTTGTAGGTCGATTTACGGCATTCGTCGTTGGAGATTATTGGAACCATTACCTAAAATAGAGAATATTTTTATAATAAAACTTAAGAGACTTAGGAATCTACAGTTCACCTGATAGTAAGTATTTGTACTGATGATACGTAAGGTAAAGATGGGTTATCTGTACCTATACCGGTTCTTTATAACCTTCAGAAGAGAACATAAGCACTGTTCGAAAATACGTTAGAGGGTGGTAGGTACCTACCAAGACAGACTCCTATAATTAATAGAATCAGGCGTTACTTTGCGGAAATCCATTATATTAGATATTAGAGGCGAAACACGTGTCGTTCATCACCTGAAGAGGCCTCGTGTAGAGGCGAAACACGTGTCGTATTGTCGTCAGTGGTGTATCTTTCCTAGTGTAGTGGTGTTGGGAGTAGTGGTGCTGGGATTAGTGGTGACGGGGATAGTGCACGCAATTGAGGGAGGGCGGGAGGTGCTCTTCAAACTAGGTAATTTTATACCATCTTTAAGCCTCCTATAATATCGAAGTGAGAAACGAACTTACAGTTGAAGTGATGAAAAGTGGCCACTGCAGTCCACTGACACCTGCGGCTAACTTCAAACGAAGAAGGCTTAAATGTGTTATCATCTCTGAGGACCAAGATGGAATGTTTTATAGCCCGTAATTATACCACTTCTCTATACCCTTCGGACCGGAAAACAGCAGTGTAAGCACTATTTAGGCGGTAAAAATAGGTACCCAAGAAGGTGGTACTTACACAGACGGACTCCTTATTATTAAAGTGACAAAAGAATGTACAGTCCAACTGGTAAGAGGCTGCTGCAGTCCATGGACTAGGCTACAGATGCCTTGTCACCTCTGAGGGCTAAGATTGATCGTCTTTTGTGATGCGTACAGCAAAGGAGTGGAATAATTTGCCGGCGTCTATCTTTCCGTCCGAACACAATCTGGGCGTCTTCAAGGCAAGAGTGAGCAGGCTTTTGTTACGCTAAGACAGTGCAATTTACCATCTAAGGCTGCATCACTACTGACCACCAGGTGGGATTGTGTTCAAGCACTGGCTTATAATAAGTAAAAAAAAACACTCCTAGACAGAAAGGAAGTACTACCACTTAGGTATACATTCCACCCACCTCCCTCAAGACGTTGGAAACGGAGCCGCCCTCCTCAGTAGTGCCCCAGCCGGCCACCGTGGCAGTGTGTCCGGTGTACGACAGCTCGGGCTCCGGCAGGCACACCGTGGCCACCCCGCGGTCTTCCTCCTCTTCGGTGACTTCACCGTCGCTCTTCAACTTCTTAATTGCGCTGGTCAGGTCTATCTGTTATTGTATACAAAATTACGGTAATGTAAAATTTAATGATACATTTTGTAATGACAACACACAATCGTGTACACATATGTAAGTATATTTAAGGGAGGAGTGAATAGGCATTTACTAAGCTTTATCAGCCACACTCTAACAGCATTTATCTTCAGTTGCGATCATAGTCAATTGATTCATTGATTCATTACAGCCTATGTAAAGTCCGCTGCTGAACATAGGCCTCCCCCATAGATTGCCACGTAGTTGCCACGCTTGAATGATGAAATTCGAAAACTGAAACCTCCTGTTCTGTGTTTTTTGTGTTATGCACAAATCTGTTGACGTAATTCTAGGTGGCTTCTACAAGGACTACAGCTCATGAACACGAACAATTTTAAACAAAGAAAACAACAAATTGGCACTCCTGAGTACGAAGATGGAATGGCTTCGAACTGAAACCCAACGTTGGGTGCACTTCTGCACGGCAGCGGCAGTATAGGCAAAAAGATGTAACTAATTCTGACGACCACCTCGGATTATGGCTAACGTCAAGGTTTTTTATAGAATAAGGGTGACAAACGAGCACACAGTCTACCTGATGGTCAGTAGTTGCTGTGGCCCAAAGACATCTACATCTCGGACCGATACGACTTAGGGACCTTCAAGAAAAGAGCGTACTCCTTTTTAAAAGGCCGGCAACGCATGTGTAATTCCCTCCCTGGTGTTGCAGTTGTTCATGGGCGGCGGTAGTCACTTACCCTCAGGTGAGCCGCATGCTCGTTTGCCCCCTCTCCTATAAAAAAAAACATCTATCTTCGTTTGCGAATTAAAATTCAGATGCGTTGTCAGCCGTGACTCACGGCCCGTGAGGACTAAGATAGAATGCCTCTTTTCCAATAAAAATGGTCTCCGGTTCTCTAGACTCATTCGTGCTACAACTATACTGTTAATATAGCTGCAGCGTGGCTCTACCACGTATTAAATTAAGGTTGCGTGTTATGAATGTTGCACGATCAACTAAAGGGTGATATTTTCAATAGTTGCGAAGCTTGGCAGGCGCGTTGGTAACCGTAGTTTATATTTTCGAAAGACGCTGCCCATCTCCTGGTTTGTTTCCCCTGTCGCCTTAACAAAATCCACAGAACGATATAGGGTAGCAGATATTCTTACACCGCCAATACACTTACTGTCTGTGTTAAAACCTACCCTCTGATCTAACTTCAACATGGCGATGTCACTGTCATATGTGCCAGGGTTGTAGCGGGCGTGGCGAATGATGGCTGCCACCTTCCTGTCTATTGTCTTCGTCTCATTCGCGACATGGCGATCGTGCTCCAAGAAGCGAACTGTCATCCTTTCTTTTCGGAATCTGGAAAATCATTTTTGACGGTAATATAAAACTTGTTCCCTTTCAAAAGTGTTAATAAGAATAATTAAAATAGTATTAGTCAAAATGTTAACATGAAGCGCCATAATTGCACGCGATAGTCGTAAACATGTTTTTTTTCTTCCCTCATTCAAGTCAATTCACATTAAACTATAATCACGGTCGAACCTCTGGGGCACTCAAAGTTTGTAGTGACTGATTTCATTTGAAACACCAAATGAAATCAGTCAGTTTATACACAGTATTGACGAAACAAACGTGTTTTGCAGAATATATAGGTAAGTATGCGTTTTAACCTTTTGGGTTGTCTGGCCAGCGCAGCGGACTGCATATCTACAAATATAGTCTTTTGCGGGAATCACCATTTAAAAGAAAAGAGCCATTACGTTTAGACTACTTGATATTTTCCGATAGTATTTGGCATTATTGCCAAAATAAAATGACGTCCTTTACTTAAAAGTTCCTATCGGAATATCGAACCAAAGTCGCTTGGCTGCTCGAGGAGCGGCCGATGCTTCGGTTCTTTTACAGATTACAGAGGTATTATATACCTCTACTTTTTCTACTACTTCGGAACTTTGATAGCGTGATTTAGGCGTCCGTGTGTTTTGCTTGTGGGCCGACGACGGCCCTGCCTCAGCTGCTTAAAATTCAACTGCTGAACATGGGTTTCCCCTATTGAAAAAATTATTTGCCTTAATCGTCATCCTTGGCAGGCGGGGCGATGATCACAGTACCAGAAATCTAGCAGCTTTGACGCTGCTCCTCTTCTGTCTGGGTATTTTACGTCTGGCATAAAAAAGATGGAATAACGCCATCTATCGGCAGCCATAATATTTTTTTAGTATTTCCCATAGTCACTTTTACGACATCTATGGGACACAATCGAGTGATGCATTTGCTTACGTCGCTAACATACGTACTTGCAGCAACAAAAAAGGAAAGTAACAACCTATAGTCCCACTGCTGAACCAGGCCTTCTTTCATTACGGAGGGGTTTGTGTCTTTTATACATTGGCAGACTTCGGCTGTCATTAAAAATTACTTCAATTTCTCAGAGATGATTCTCTTTCCTTACGAAGCTTTTCAGGCTGAGCTCGAGGTAAATCAGCCCTCAAATTGCAATTAACACTGTCATTGATAATGGCTTGAATCGAACTGTATAGTAGCAGTATGTAATATCTTTCAGACCGAATGCCAGTCACGGCAGCCGGTCTAACTGGAGACCATGCATCAGCGTAGAACAGCATTATAGTGCACGAGTGTATTCGCAAGTACAGGGTACTCTCTATTCTCCTATCTCCTAATCCATCGGACTATCCTATAGCATAGTCCGATGGATTTACGTGATTTCCAAGGCATGGGGATAAGCACCTTCAACTTACTCATCATAGACTCCTGGCCGTTATTGAAACTATCTTGACAGAAAAATCTAATTACTTATTCTTCGGCACATGATCAGTAGTCGCGCTTACGACCACTAGATCAACGAAAGAGTCTATTAAGAATAGAATAGGATAGAATAATTTTTTATTCAATATAGATCACATGTGTAATTCTTATTGAAAGTCATTTTTTACTTTACCACTTGTTCGAAAAAAAAACCTCTGTCCTGGGAAGAACCAGCAAGAAACCCAGCGGGACTTTTTTTTAAAAGCATATTTTACATTAATGATTGGTAGGTACAAAATTTATTTTAGAAACAGCTTGGAAGCGACCACCTCATTCCCAGGGGTTATTATCAACCATGTACTTATTACCGTGTATTATCAACCAAGAGGTACATATTACCCAGCAGTACAGTGAGCGGCGGTCAGCACGTAGAGGTCGGCGATGAGGGAGCAGCCGCAGTAGAAGCGACCTCCGTACATCATCACGCACATCCAAGGGTACTCCTTCTGTTTCGTCTCCATACCGCCTACGATGCGCCGATGAGTCCTGGCGAGCCCGCACTCTGGGGAAATTAAATTAACATAAAATTGTTATTTTGTTATATACATTTTTATAAACAAAATTAATAGATAAATATAGTCTGTTTTTAATCACAACTATTTTTTTCGCTTACAATAATTTACTTTACTTTAAGAAGTAGTAGAGAGGACTCTATACAGTAGCCTCTTCAAACGAGAGGCACTGTCCAGTAGTAGACTTTTATGGGCTCTTCAAGAAGGAGAAGAAGAAGTAGATGCCGTCAACTTTTACTTGAGGATGTCCTAACTATGGTTGCTAATCCTATATAATATAGGATCGTAATATATTAAGGGTCCAAATACTATAATGTAATATATTATGAACTATATGTGTTTTTCAGTTTTGCGCCATCTACTTTATTTTTACAGGTAATTGCCTTGAAAATACTACATTTGATATAAATAAGTTGGCAACTTTAGTTGTGTGCATGCAATGCAGTGACTTCCGATAGATGGAAAGTCTAAAATTCTCAAACCAGAGGCGGAGGGCAGCGCTACATGAGTAAAGAAACCGTACCGTACAGAGGCAAAGCTTCATACAACCGTGCTATGATAATTACACTACTACAAGCTTGAGGCGCGTGTGTGCGTGAGCACTAGTGGCTCGTCACGTACAGAGAGAAACTGCTTTACACCGGCTCGGCCAGTGCTGAAACTCAGGGTTGTGTAAAGAATAATAAGTGTAAAATTTTATTTTTTAAAGAATTATTCTTGTCACGTGAAATATAAAAAAAGTTTTGTTTTGGTTTACTGTACTGTTTATATGAACAAAAAAAAAGTATATTTAATTATCTTATTAATTATAAATTATTATTAACTATCCCAGAGACTCCACTAGGTAAGTAGTAACTTGACTATAATTTATTATTTTTAATGTGGTAGATAAATAACTCACCTATATAAGTGACCTACCTACCTATAAGTGATTGATTTTGATAATGTTTATAATTGAATAATTACTTTTATAAATTAAATACGTAGGTTCATGTTTGTTTTATTATTATTATTTCAGACGGCAGGAGTGGTTAAAAGCTGATGAAGATCTCCTTTCAAAACTTTTTTTATTATAAAACAATATAGTTTCTGTGACGATCACTTCGAAAAATCCTGTATTAAGTTTTCTAAAAAAAAGACCTGTAAAATATTTATTTGGAAATGCTTTTCCAACACACAACTTGCAGACAAATGATGGTGCTTGTTTGAGTTCCAGTCAATATGAGAATGTATCTGAAATGAATGTATGAATTGATTGAGCAAAAATTTTTCGAATATTTTGATCTCGAAAGAATCATTGTAAATATTGGTAATGAAATAGTAAAACGTATGCAAGATTATATTGCACGCCACACAACGTGAGGGAGTGCTCTACTCTCGATATGTGGCCATACCTCAATTCCGCTACATAAAATCATTCTTATACTTTTAGCTAGACATCAAATCCATATTCTTATTAACGATACAATAACTATAGACATTGAATTATAAGATTAGTTTATTTTCTAATTGATTCCCTTTAGATTACATAACGAAAAATGTAATTGAAAAAATATATGAACTGCCGTCCATCTCCATTGGTCTATGCGTCGGTGAGTCTTCTCGCTTAATATAAATGTAAGCAATAGATTGAGATACATAGTATTAAATAAAATTACATATATTCTAAGAAAGATCCATATTGATTTTTGTTATTGAAATCAACACCGTTTAAAAGTTATTAATGAAAGTCGATCAGATTCTGTTTTTTTTTCTTCGAAAAATTATCGTCACTATTTTTACTTTTTCATCAAAATTAAATGAAAAGCTCATGAGGCACTTTTTGGTTTTCCAAACTATATTTGTTATGCCATGCGAGTGTTTTCCAATAGATTATTAAAAGAAAACTTTACATTAAATTCATAATTTACCATTTGATTAAAAGGCACAACAAATCGTTGAGTTTATAAAAAAACATGCTATCTTAAGTATAATATAATAAGAGCTGATAAGCGTTTTGTTTATTTAATTTTCCTCCAACCCTACCAAAATAGGTAAAAATTTTGACAGCTCCTTAGAAGCTTTGCCTCTGTACGGATTCTTTATTCATGTCGCAGCGCCAAGCATGCGCAATGCGCAGTCTGATATTGTGGTCCAGAGGCAATTATAGTAATATAGGTATATTACTATATATTTATATTATAATTGTACACATATAATGTAGTAATATAATAATAGAAATATAATAATAATAATCATTGGTATTCATTTTCTATTTTCTCCCACATATTATGATCAGTACATCACAATAAACGTAGTAGCAGTAAACTATACAACTAAATAACAGCTATAAATATTAGCTAATAAGATCTAGGTCTGGTGCCCAAACTATATATATATTAATATCTTCCATTCTTCATAATCTAATATGATTATATAATATTATACAATAATAATATCCTCAGTCCTACTAAGCAATATCACAACATCACAGAAACTACTGCGAATACAGTCTAAATAGTTACTTACATCAAAATTGTTATCCCCTTTTTTCTACCCCGAAATGTTTTCTTTAAATTTTAAATAGTACCTATCTTTGAAGAATTAAAAAAGATCATTAGAAAAGGTACACAATTTACAAAAATATCGTGTAACATACACAAAAAATATAGCGAATTGAGAACCTCGTTTTTGAAGTTGACAACCTAAAACAATTTAAAAGAGAGTCCCCATCAATAATACGAATACAGAAATACCTAAATTAATAGAAAAATTGTTCACTAACGGCATGTAGGACAGTTCTTGGGCGGCTCGTTTGAAGGTTTCTCGGTTGTTGTCGTAGTGCCTCCAAGCAGGTTGTTGATCCAGTCAATAAATCCCTTCTGCTTTCCATCCTCAGGCTGCGCTTCGGTCGTATGGCAACTCGATAATCCGACGCAGACTAGCAAAATGAATATCCAATTCATGATTCTGAAAATAATTAATTGCTTTTTATATATAAAGGCTCAATTTGCAATAGCCGACCAAATTTGCAGAGAAGATTCAGAATAAGCAATGTAGGCAAATGGCGAAGAAAAATAAATTGATAAAAATCTCAAACATTCGGTCCTTTTTATCTTTTAAATTCATAATACCACGTAGCATTCTTTGAGCTGATTGTCATTCATAAATATCTAACGCCTACTATTTTATTACGCACGCACACATTCGTAAGGATCGATCGGTCGGCAAAAATGTTGTGAATTAAATCGCACACAGAGGAGCGCTCGTACGTGTAGTTGTTGCCCATAAATCACATTCAATTTGGGATAATTTTAAATAAAAGTAGAAGTCTTATTTACTCGTATTTTCAAATACTGCAATAACGGTATATCATTATTTATATATTTGAAATTAAGTTTAAAATTTGGCTACTCCTTGAAAAATAACTCTGCGTGTTATTTCATAGAATTAGTGTATTTATAATAGAGGTACGCCAAAACTATAAATTATATTATAAAAAAGTAAAAACTATCTGTAGCCAGTATATTTGCTATGCCTGGATTCTGTCTTTATGACATGAACACGTCCTAAATACACGTCCTAAATCTGGGTACAGCAGTACCATTCCTGAGAGGGATTCGGGGCAAGGACGAGTCAGACATTATACATTTTTTATGATATTTTCACAATTTTATTTGCAAATAAAATTTTATTTTTGCCGGCGAGACTCCTACTATTATTTTTTTTATCTAGGAGAGGGCAAACGAGCATGCGGCTCACCTGATGGTAAGTGACTACCGCCGCCCATGAACAACTGCAACACCAGGGGAATCGCAGATGCGTTACCGGCCTTTTAAAAAGGAGTAGGCTCTTTTCTTGAAGGTCCCTAAGTCGTATCGGTCCGGAAAAATCGCTGGTGGTAATCGATTCCACAAGGAAGTTATGCGAGGGAGAAAACTTCTTCTGAATCGCTCAGTGGTGGACCGCCAATCATCCAGATGATATGGATGGTATCGCGAGTTTTGTCGCGATGTGCGATAGTGAAACTGAGCGGCTTGAATTAGTCCGAACAATTCCTCAGAGCACTACCCGTGGTAGATGCGATAAAATACGCAAAGAGATGCAACATCTCTACGCAGTGCCAGTGAGTCAAGCCGATCGGAAAGAACTCGGTCGTCGACTATTCGAACCGATCTGCGCTGGATGCGGTCAAGTGGAAGGAGCTGGCACTGGGGAGCCCCTGCCCAGAGATGGGAACAGTATTCCATGTAAGGCCGAACCTGTGCCTTGTAAAGTTGCAAGCGGTGCGCCCGCATGAAATACTGTCCCGCTCTGCTGAGCACGCCAAGCTTTTTAGAGGCCAATTTGGTATTCTCTTCCAAGTGACCACGAAACTGCACTGTTAGCGCTCGCTGTAAGTTTCACAGTACTCGAGCAACCCGGGCTCGATCCCCGCCGGCACCAATGAAATTGTTAATTGCAATATTAAGTGCTGATTTACCACGTGCTCGGCGGTGAAGGAAAACATCGTGAGGAAACCTGCATGTCTGAGAAATAAGAAAAAAAATATTTTGAAGACATGTGAAGTTCGCCAACACGCATTGGGGCCGCGCGGCGGACATTTCCTTACCCTAAAACCCTCTCAGAAATAAGAGGAGGCCTGTGCTCAGCAGTAGGACGTAAATAGGCTGCAACTTTACTTAAACTTTACTTTTAAGGGTGACAAACGAACACACAGTCCACCTAATGGTAAGTGTATGCTGTGGCCCATAGACATCTACACTTATCCTCAATTAAGAATCAAAATCCAGATGAGATGTCACCCCTGAGGACTGAGATGGAATGCCTCGTTTCCAGTAAAAAGGGTCTCCGGTTCTCTACACTCACCATACGAAACACAGCAGCACTAAGCTGCTATTTTACGTTGGTATTCTCTGAGAGTGTGGTCCTCACACATGAGTAGATAATACCCTCCGGTCGAGCCGACCCATTTGTGCTGCAACCACAATATACCTGCAGCATGGCTCTACCACGTAAAGCGTTATATTATGTCTTAGATTATTCAACATACTGTAAGTATTATGTACTACTTTTTCGCATTTGACATCTGGCATTTTTTATTTGTTTAACGCCTTTTTTCTGTTGCACCACACCGCCAACGAAACAACAAATTCACCCGGTTCCAGCTCAAACTGTTACCAAACGCCAAATTAAAAACTACTTTGTCTGAATCTTGCAGTTGCTATAAAACGGCGTAATTTTGCGTTCCGAAGCTGACTTCAGGTACACCGAAACGAAGTACCAAAAAAAGGGGACGGTCCCGTTTAAAACGAGACGTATGGTCACGTTAGCTGTGACGTAAAAAAAACTACCTTAATATTTATTGGACAAAATGTTTTATATTATGTTTTAATTAACAAAATCAACCGTTATGACCGTCTTTCTTTGAATATCGAAAAGTAAACATCAAATAAGTTGTAAAAGTGTATTTTCGTTACTTTTCAATGTTTTATGACAGAAACCTTCTTTGGCATGCATTACGAGCTGTTTAGTGGGTCACAATAAATTACTAAATTGGGACACAGACAGTTAAATATATTAATGCTAAATCGGAAAAGTAGGGTTACCAACCGTTTATGATTTTATAAATATTTCTAAAACTACATTTATTGACTTTTTTGTATTATTCTTCAATTAAGTTAAAATTTAGGACTTGGAAATATAGGACAATAAATAAAGCGCGTACTTTATAATAAAGAAAGTGGGCACAACAGTGGGTTTGTTGACGTTGTTTATTTGCAAAAATATAAATAGTTCACAGTTGTAGAAAGGTGCCATAAATCCGTGTAGTGGAGGTAAAAGATAATCTATCACCCGCGGATGTTGTAAGAGCCTACAATATTGTTAATAAAAAAACTGTGATTGCCAACTCGCCTGCCAAACGCAGCTATATGTTAAACATTCCCTATGAGCAATGAATGATGATGATGAACAAAGCCTCTCCTACTCCTATATTTTCCATAAAATATCATGCTTGAAACGCAGTAACAGCCTAGCATTTTTATTATGTGTGAGATAATCTCTCACATAGGTAATGATCGCAAAAACATCAAAATTTCCAGAATGTTATATTACTTAGTTAGTGGTGAAATTATGTTGTGTTTTATTTAGTTTTATTTAACATATTAAGTTATAGGTAGTATAAAATGATACTTCTGGTGAAACTGAATATTAATCTGGCGTAGCATGTGCATCCATCGATTCTGTTGTTATTAATTAATTAATTTAATTTAATTTGGCTGATCAACAGTGAGTACACTCAAATTAACCAAATACATCAGTAATAATAATAAGTAAATGCCTCACTACTTACAGATTAGCACAGCATGTACCAACATAAATCTTTTTATTATAGCTTTTATTATTGTATATAATAGAATTAATATTTTAATTGTTAATATAAAGTTACTTATAGTATATTACTTATAAACAAAATCAACAATTTAACAATAATAAAGCAAAAAGATTTAATTCATTATTATTGATATCAATGTCGAGCACAATTTTATATACAGAGGTTGTGTTAATGTCTAGCACAGTAGAATATGCCTCATAAACCTTGGAAAGATGTGATATTGAGTAGTGCGACTTAAGGTTTGTGCTGCAGTGACTGGTATAGAATGGTGTAAGCTTAGTGCCTAGACGAGGTAATGTTTTCGGGAACTCGAATGCAATTATGGATAGTAAGTCAGGGTAGTTTAGGTTTCCTATAATTAATCTACAGATATGTAAAATTTCATTTACATTACTAATAATTAAAGAATTCCGAACAAATGTGAGAAGTACTCGCATCCTGTAAGTTTTGATAAGTGAGTTTGCGAATATCAAAATATGTTACATGACTTTAATTGAATTTTTGTCACCTCCAAGGAGCTGTGGACCTTAATAATTGATATTAATTTCTCGATCCGTTCCTGAGAAAACGGACCGTAGCAAACAGACCGATTGGCGGGCGGACAACGGATGGACGGACAGATGGACGGGCGGACAGCCAAGTAATCCTATAAATGATCAAAGCAGAACGCTATTAATATACAAAATTTGCATCATCACCTACGCAGCTTTCAAAAGCATTTTCTTTCAGTATTTTCTAATTGACTTAATCAACTTAATCATGGTATAATGTCTAGATTATTTCCTTTTAAAAAAACAGATGGTAACCCTATGCGTAGAGGATCTCATTCCAATCAAGGACACAGGAACCGGTCTAAGGCGTTCGATGGCGGATTGCAGAACAGTTGGAGGTACCGCTACCTCGATCACTCATCCCATCACTAATGCATTAGTATATATCAAAATAACATAATATTAAAATATATCTCTATACTAACTTTTCCCGTTATAAATAAAACAGTGTAATAGTTATTGTCGCCATATACTTGGTAAAAATAACATAATATGACAAGATCTAAATTCGAAAGTTTATTATCTCTGCTAAAATAAGAATATTGTCTGGTATGACAACCATTTAAAAATAAATAAACGTTCATGTTGTAATTTGTAATATCAACGGAAAAAAAAAACTTTCAAACTAACGGCAATTTCTTTTCGGTCAAAGTTCTATCCATTCTAAGATGTGGAATACAATAAAATACCTATCTTGATTACCTTAACCCTTACTGGTGACCATATCAAGAATCGTAATGTCCGTATTGATATGCATTGTGCATCGTCCTTGCGATTCGTGCTAGTCAATAGAGAGTTGTCAGTTTTCCTGTTCCCCTATAATAAACTCAAATGTGTAGAAAGTAGTTCAAACTGGTCGTTAATGCTATAATATATAACCCATAACTGTATTGATTACTTGTGATACATTAAAATTGCTACTATTTTTAATAATTTTTTGTTTGACTATAGTTTCTCGATGTTATCGATAAACACATTTTATAGGTAAGAGTATTATTTTCTAATTATCATGATAAAA